GCCAACCACAGTTTGAATCCTGGCTGTGGTGACTTAAAAATCATATGAGGCATGCGCACATACATGCATGCCCAAAATCCTGACAGGAGAATGGAGAAAAAGGGATTATGGCATGGCTATTCCCTTGGGGGTGATTTTTAACTGTCCTTCTCTCTGTCTCTCTCTGGTGAGCACATGTGCTCTATACAGTAAAAACCTTTAAAAAGATGCACTATAATAAATGCATACTTTAATTGTATTTCTGAATCAACTTTTTGAAGTATCCTGATTCCTAGAGTAAGAGCTAAAATGCCATGAAGACTAATAGAATCACAATACTCTCTGTACTCTGTTATCAACTACTGATGGGAATTTAACAAAACTGTGTCAGTCCAGCACCTGATACACTAAAAACTCTAAAAAAATTCGCTAACATTTGAATCAACCACTATCATTTCAACATAAATGAAAAAAATGTTTAACTATGACTTACCTTACAAAACAAAACTTCAGTATAAAATCATTCAAGGGGTTAAGTAGTCACAGCACTAATCCACTAATACAGACAGCAGAAAGTGTTATTCTTACTGTTTCTTTTTACACCTGTCATATCGAATGCTCCTCTTAATGCACTGCATTTAGAGAAAAAGAGCACTGCAGCTGCTCACATGGCAAACTATGTTTACAACAGAAAGAGGCCTTAAAGAGGAAGTCATATCAGAAAATAAACAAGTATTCTCATTAGAAATTTCTTTACTAATACCATATATAGCCCTTATGACTGGTTTCTTATCTGTAAAATTGAGACAATCCTGCCTGATTGTAAAATTAGATAATAATGTCAGATGAGAAGAAGCCTCACCAGAACAGGAAGTCTTATTACCTATTTGACCCATGGTTCCCGGAGCAACTTTACAGCACCCAGGACTGGAGATAGCACCCCAGCAGACTCCAGTAAACAGCATTTGCTGACCAAAATCAGAGACTGGTTCTAATTATGAAACCACAGTCTGGGTCAGCAGGTGGGAGTGTGGTGGTTAAGGCAGCTGGATTTCACATGGCCAACTACACATTTTGAGCCCCAGACACAGTGACTTGAAAAAAACACGTTGGGCATGTGTGCATGTACATCTAAAACCCCAAGAGAAGAATTGAGGGGAAGGATTGATGGCATGGCCATGGCCATCAGCCCTGGGTGTGTTTGGGGGGGTCTCTCTCTGTTTTTCTCTGACAAGCACACAAACCCAATAGCAATTCTTACCCCCACCCCTCTTTGGCAACAGGGCATGTGTGCTTGCCACAGAGATAGAGAAACAGAAAGTGAGAAATCAACCCCCCAGGAGGATGGCCATGCTGCAATCCCTTCTCCTCCATTGTCCTCCTGGGATTTGGGCACACATGCACATGTTCCTGAGGGACTAGAACCTCCATTGGCTGCATGGAAATCCAATGACAATAACTGCTATGCCATCTGCTGGTCTAAGCATTAGAGCAAATTTTTAAAAAATAAATAAAAATTTAAAATATTTAATATTAGTGTATAATAAGAATAAGATGAGAGGAAATGAGGAAAAAGGGCATGAGAAGGAGCAGAAGAACACATGGAGAAGATGAACAAAGAATAAAAAACAAAAACAGCATGGCCTTCCTCTACTCTTTTGCAGTGGTAGTCAACAGTTGGTGATAATTCAACCACAATCAACCCCTGGCTTATCTAGCAGATTATCCATCATGCTAAGAACTAAGGAAATAGACCCAAATTTCTACCTGAATGATCTGTTTTTTAAAAATGTATATTTCATTGGTGAAATTTTAAAAAAATACCTTGGTATAGGAAAATAGCAGGTCTTAAGATTCCCCACATACTATGTAAAAAAAAATAAAAATAAGTACTTTTTAGCAAAACACAAATGCTTATTTTTTGGTAAAAGAATTATTTATCTTGGGGCCAGCAGGTGGTGTGGTGGATAAGGGTGCTGGATTCCCACATGGCCAACTATGGTTCAAGTCCTGGACCTGGTGGCTTTTTTTTTTTTTTTTTCAAGTCCTGGACCTGGTGGCTTGCTTTCTCACTTTCCCTTTCTCTCTCTCTCTTTCTGCCTGTCTCTCTCTCTCTCTCTCTCATCAAATAAAGAAAAAAATAACAATAACAAATGGAAATAAATAAGTAATTCTTTAAAAAAGAATTATTTATTAAATTTATGCATTATTATTTTTATTATTTTTCAATTTTGATATAGGACATGCACATTCACCAGAGAGAGACAGAGAAAGAGAGAGAGGGGGAAAATGAGAAAGCAAGTCGCCAGCTCTGAGCTCAAAACATGGTCAACCATGTGGGAATCCTGGCCTCAAAACACAAACTCTTGCATCTTCTCCACATAAAGGTCAATGTCTTCTAGAATTTTCTTATCAAGTATCAAAAGAAGAAAGTTCTCTTCTAGGAAATACATACTACAGTTATAACGTAAAATTCAAAATATTACATAACACAAACTTTAGGGAATATTTACCTCATTATTATTATTATTATCATTATTGGTTTTGCTATAGGGCACGTGCACTTTCCAGAGAGAAACACAGAGAGAGCATCAGAAATAATCCCCCCGGGTGGTTGGCCATGGCACAATCCCCTCTCATCTCCCTTCTTAGGATTTTGGGCACGCGTGCACACAGATCTGGCATAATTCTCAAGTCACAGGGTACAGAACTCAAACTGTGAAGCTGGGCATATGGGATCCGGTGACTTAACCTCAACTCCACCTGTTAGCCCATGGAAACTTTAATTCTCTTCTTACTTTTACAAACACAAAAATTTTAATTCAAAGTTTTACAAATGAACAATTCTATGGATACACACAATAGACTGAGATCACAAACAGTAATTATCTGATTTCTCATATATTTTCCAGCTTTTGAGTCCAATAACCCATTGTAACACATTTATAAAATACAGCTTGTTCATAGAAATCATTATGGTTTGTTTGTATGATTACCCTTAATATTTGCAAAGGGGAGATACCAACTCTAATTGTTGGTAAAATGTATGTGTTTCTATAATACATTTTAATACAATCCACATAAAATTCTTCCATGAGTTTGTATGTTATTTGAGTTGAAAGTGGAAATTCCCCATATAAATTATTTATCTTAACTCTGCTACTCACGTAAGTTACCATCGTATTGCTTTCCTTTCTGTATTTTTAAGTCCTTTGCAATCTTGTTTCTGACCAGACCAGTGATAACAGATTTCATTTGTTTGTTTGTTTTTAAGTTTTGCTATGGGGTATGTGTGCTTATCAGAAAGAGACAGAGAGAGACAGAAAATGAGAAATCACCCCCCAGGAGAGATGACTAATGCCAAGATCTATTCTCCTCCATTCTCTTCTGGGATTTGGGGCACTAATGCACCTGTGCTCATGTTCGCTTGCTGGAGAGACAGAGAGACAGAACATGAGAAGTCACCCTGCAAGGGGGATGGCCACACTACAATCCCTTCTCCTCCATTCTTCTCAAGGAATTTTGGTCATGTATGTACACGCACCATTTGTGAGTTTCAAGTCACCAGGTCCAGAACTTGAACTGCCATCAGCCATGTGGGAATCCACCACCTTAACCACTATGCCACTCGCTGGCCTGCTAGTGTGATTGTTAAGCCCCCAAGTCTGGGGCTCAAACTGTGAAGTTGGTCATGTGAGATCTAGCTGCCTTAACCACCACTCCACTAGCTGGCCCTCTATTTCTTTAATTGCAAGAGAGTGTGTGTGTGCCCACCAGAGAAAAAGAGAGTCAGAGAGATAGATAGAGAGAGGGAGAGAGACAGCACCCCCTTATGGCATGTGAATATGCCACAACTCTTTTTTTCTCCATTTCACCATCCTGTCAAGATATTAGGCTTGTATAAACACAGACAACTTATGTGTTTCCCAAGCTGCTGAGGCTGGCACTCTAGCTTTGGTTTGCCATGTGAGACCCTGCTCCTCACATACGGAAATTAGCCACTGCCCCACAGGGCCAGCCCAGTAACAACCTAACTTCTAAATCACATTACAGAATATTATATTATCAACTACTTCTACTCTAGTTACTCTTCTGCAATGTTCTGGTTTTTGTTTGTTTGTTTGTTTTTTATTTTTTGAGGGATTTTTTGCTACAGGGCATGTGCACTTGCTAGAAAGAGACAGAGAGACAGAAGTGAGAAATCACCCCCCGGGGGGATGGCCACAACACAATCCCTTCTCTTCCATTCTCCTCTTGGGATCTTGGGCATGCACACACACGTGCCCGGCATGAATTTAAGCCACTGTGTCCGGGACTCGAACTATGGCCGACTACATGGGAGTCCAGCAACACAGCCATTACTCTAACTACTGATCCCTCTTATTCAACATTCTTAAAACAACAGGCACTCTTGACTTTCTTAGAATCGTTCTTTTCTTGTTTTCCCCACTTACTATTTATTCTCTGGTCCTCTTCCTCCAAATTGACCCAACTGAGTGTCCCACAAGATTCTGTCATCACCCCCTCCTTTAAATTCTTTACTACAACCTGTCCCACTCATGTGCTTGAACTATCATCACTGTGAGAATGGTTTTCAAATTCTAATGTTCTTTCTTTACCTCTTTCAAGTTTTGATTTCTTATCAACTGCTTACTAAACATCTCAGTATGGCCCAATGTTATCTCCAAATTACTATGTCCAAAAGAGGACTCATTATCTGCCCCAACAAGAAGTCTGCTCTTCTTTATAGTCTACATCATTTTTATCAAAGTATTTGTATTTCTTTCTTTCAAGAGTGAGAGAGACAGAGAGGGAGATAGAGGGTCCCCATGCCATGATCCATCCCCAGCCTCTGCTAGCCCAGAACACAGGCACACCTGCCTGTGCTGGCATGCTCAGAGATGTCTTGGGACATGAACATGGGACATTCCCATGTGGGTCCAGTTGCTTTACTGTTGTGCCACTGCCTGGTTCCTGCTCTCCTACATCATTTACGACATGTTGTAAATCACTTTGCATCTTTACCCTTCGATTTCCCCATACCCTCTGTCACCATGCTTGTGCAGCGGCCATGCTAATCTTCTCTGTATGGTTCCAATTTTAGTATATGTGCTGCTGAAGCGAGCACCCCTCTGTCACCATGTCCTATTAATTTTTACCCTTCCACATTTCTGAAATTCTTACTGTCTTCTCTATTTGTATGGCAAAACAAACAAACAAACAAACAAATCCAAAAACCTTGCTTAGGTTCTGACTTGCTCTATTCCTGAGTCTTTGGGTAGCTTCCTAATGAATCTCCATATTTAATACCAATCAGCTATCAACCAAACACTGTATTAGTCCTGAAACACAAAAATGAAATGACATAGTCTCTACCCTCAAGGGTTTATAGTCTAGTGGAGAAAGAGACTGTGAAATAGAGTGATTAAGTGCTATGATACATAAATAGTAAATCTTATGTAAGTGTAAAATATGAGCACAGAAGCAGTATTTCTAACCAGCTTGATCTTTCTCAGAAGAGTTCGTGTTTAGTTGATTTTGAGGAACTACATGCATGATACTATCACAGAAAGTAAGGAGTTAAGAGTTTTAAATTGGTGATAAAATAAAAATTGTGTCTCAGGTAAGAAACTGGTATGTACACAAAACCTCAGTTCTCTGTTCAGACAGAGCTACAGGCAGAAGACAACGCATTGTAGGGATTTGTTTGTTTATATTTTATCCATTTAGTAAAGCATTACTTAACAAGTCTCAAAAATTTGCCCATCATTTCCCTTTCAATAAACAATAATTATTATAGGCAACTCTCCTAATCTGAGGTTAAGCTATCAACAAGTGTGTTTCGCTTCAATACTAAAAATTTCATGGTATAGATAAGTATTTACAAGGACTATAATAAATTACAACTTCTGTAAAGAAGTAACATAAAATCTATGATGGATGTATCATGTCAACATGGAGCTAACTGATACTGTCTATAGCCTCTCTTACCTGAAATCCCTCTTAAATAGAAATAGATAGATGTATATACACACACACGCGCGCGCGCATCTATGTCAACATATCCGTGACACTGCTGTTTCTCTGGTTACTCTCATTTTTGTTAGCGAAAGAAATTCAAGGTAAGTGTGTGGTAAGGAGGAAAAATAAGTGATTAAATGGTTTTTGAGGACAAAACCGATCAGATCACTGCCCTGCTGAAAAACTGGCGATAGTTTTTCAACTCCTAACCTATAAAGTTTCAATTCTTTGAGCTTGGCATTCAAAGCTTCTCAAACCTAGCTCTCCTACAATTAAAATGTAATTTGTTTTCTTTTTCTCAGTTTCTGTGTCCTGTTCCTAATTACTATTTATTATCACTGACGATACCTGATGTGTTCTGACCTCTGGGATCTTCATTACTCTATTGGACTACTCATCCCAACTTAATCCCATAAACAAGCTTCTTTGGCCTCAATACTACGAATCTCAGCCCTAGAGTATCCTATCCTCCCTGCATCTCTGCCTGTTCATACACTGGCCACTTTCCATGACTGGTTTGGATGTCATTTCCTCCTTAGACAATTATTACATCACTCCATCATCAAGTAAAAATCTACTCTGATCTTGGCCAAGATATCTGTGCCATTCTCATAGAAGTTACCATGTCTTCAAATCTGTTTTTTTTTTTTCATATCATGCATATAGCTATTGGTATCCCTGACCAAAAAACTCTTCATTTTAAGTATAAGCTTCTGTGTAACAAAGTTGGTACCTTACTTGTTATGTTGTCTGTGAAAGCACTTTACAAACCTAGGTTTTTTTTTTTTTTAAATCTCTAGAATAAACAAGGGAATGAACAATTCATTCATTACTTCATAAACTCATTCATATTATCTATGCTTATAACGCCATTTGAAGCTGTGAAAAGTAATGTAGTGTAATTGATACCCGGCCCCCGAGAGATAAAAGTAAGTCATCTTTGTCTAGTCTTAAATACACTATTTACCAGGTAAAGGAAAAGAAATATGTCCTAGAATCCTAGGTAATCTGCACAGTAAGATGAGCTCAGGCTCTCTT